TGTTAATTGTTTAATTAGTTCTTAACAGCTCTTGTCCTCGATTGCATGACCGAAATGGAAACAAATAGTTTTCAGTTACGAATTGTACAGCTAGAAAGTGCGCGATTACGAAAGGCAAGTCGATGGGCCATAAATAAATTTGTTAACAAATCTCTTCGGCTGCTTTCATGTATGTTCTTTCGCCTCGTCTTGTTCTTTCGCCTTTTCCCATTGCCGTTCGAGATGCAGGTGTGTGACATCGACTATTTATGATTCCAATATGCAAATACCAATAACGGTTGCGGCCATTTTTTAAAACACCAACAACAAAAAGAGATACAATAATACAAAAAAAAAACTTATTCGCGATTTCCATCAACGACGCCCACGCAAATCGTATTTTTTTTTATAAATTTATTGTTATTCTCAATTAAAAATAATAGCTTTTATCGATAAAATAAAGAGTCCATTTATAACATCAAATGAAATGCGGATTTTTAATGTTTTTGAGATAATAAATTGTTGTTAACTAATGCTAATCTGCATTTATTTTCATTACGCTTTAATGTAATACTTATGCTATTATATAGAATAATGATGGTTACGAGTGCTCGAGGTTTTAAATCAACCTCAACCTTTCGCTCAAGAAGCGATGATAATACAAAATAGTGTTATAATTAGCTGGAGGATTGATACGTAACGATCATAAAAGAAATTGTATAGAAGGCAGCGCATGGCTGAAATAGTTGAAATAGTTATTTAAAAAAAAAATCGAAAAATCTGTATCAAGGATGTATATCGCTCGGATTGTTAAGCAATTGTTTTCTTAATTAAAAACAAGAGAGAGAAAGAGATAATAATAAGTGAGAGAAACATTACCATAGTTACGCCTGGATTTTGTTTACATATATCGCTCTCGATTTACGTTTCGATCTTCATCATCATCGCAGCTTCCAATCCAATCACATTAAGCCTAATGATGTTGTGTGATCATTCGAAGGCGCCTAAGTAGATCGTGGATAATTAATCAAGGAAGTGGGGAGGGGAAAGAGTTCACAGGATGAGGCTGTGATATTTATTACAACACGGAAGAAGAGGGGCCTCGTCCGAAGTAAATGTGAGCCATGAAACATGGTTTTTTAAGAGGTCCAATTTATCAAAGAACTATTTATATAGTGGTGCAGTGCGCGTTTCTCTGATTAATATCAATGCGCGTCGTTTAGGCAACAAACAAACGAACGAAATAAGAAACAAACGAAAATAGAAAAGAATATCACTTGTCGCAATTTATCTCTTTGGGATTATTCTTGTGGGAAACGAAATTCGTTGTCTGTTATTCGTTTATTTATTATTATTTTTTTTTCTTCATTATTATCATTCTTTTCTTCCTTCATCTTCTGTCCCGCAACATTATTAACTCCATGTAATTGCCTAAGCTTTTATTATTTTCAATGGCCTCTCCGGAGGTAAGCATCGGAGCCATTTAGAGGCGCAATTTGTATTTATGTTTTATCTTCTAATACATTCACATAATACCATAGGAAGAATAAAAACTAACTATTTCTTCTTATTATTTGTATATATCAAAATCTCAGTTTAAATTTCACTATATGTTTGCTTTCTTTTAATATAAATGTGAATTTAAAGAAAAGAAAGCGAAAAAAAAATAGAAATTGTTTCATAATTGCGTTTTTACATTTCGATAGTACTAAAAATGTATATACAAATTAAAGCAATTCCTCGCTTAGTCCGGTTCCGCCAATATCCCGGACTGTTTGAAACTAGACTAACCGTTGAACTAAGTCGACAAAAAAAAACGGTCGTACACAAACAACAATATTTATGTTCAATTCAAATTTTTATTTAATTTTATTTATTCTTTTTTATTTTATTTATTGAATAATACATGAAAACTACTGCGAACTCTGCGAATTATTACTGTATTATAAAATATTAACAAATTAAACAATCATTCTTATATTATTTTTTTCCAAAATTGTTCACTAATGAAAATACTCAATCATTGAGACATTAAATCCAGAAAGAAGTAAGTAAAATTCTATAATTCTTATTCATTTTATAAATATTCGTCATTCTCAATTTTGTCTTTAGTTTTATTATAAAAAAACAAACTGTTTCAATATATATAAAAAGAAATAAAATTTAAAGCATGAAACTGTGAAATTAATCACTTTTAGGATTTTTTTTTCAGTACTAAAACGAGACGTGTATTCTATTATGATTGTAATGGGAAACATAATTTGACGTTAATTTATTTATTTGCTATAAATGCATATTCAGCCGATATAGCTTATGCAAATTGTCCTTTGTTGTTTGCCAATTTGATGTTTCGCAAGTCGGCACGAGTGAAACGGCGAAAATAAAAGTGTCAAAACTACAATAACATCAGTGCCCAGTAATTACAGGCCTCCGTCGAAAGCTCAGCTTTTCCATCCATCCACACTCATAAATATGTACATCGTCGTAATGAAATAATACATAAATTACATTATTCCTTACCATTCATTCATTAAATTAAATTAAAGGTTACTCACAATAAGCAAGATTCCAACTTTCGGGAATTTTAATGTTGTAATTTCATTACAGAAATACGTCACATAGTGCGAGTAATCAGTTCTGGCAATATTTGAAACCGGACTAATCGAGGACTTTAAAACCTCATAAAAGCACAGAATGAGATTTCACTGTATAAAGTAAAAAAAAACCGATAATTTCTGTATAAACAAATTTATTGACTAATTTTTAGAATTTAATATTTTGTTAAATTAAAATTTAGTTCATTTCAAAACATACTACTATAAGGACTGATTGAAGCCGATCTATGCGAGGTATTTTCTATACTTCCAAAGCAATTTTCTGAGAATCAGTATTGTATTTACATTTATTTAAAACAAATTTATCACATTTTCTAATATTTAGTTAATTCTTTCATTAAATTAAACTTTAAAAAAGAAATTTCCAACTTTCGAAAATCGTTATTGTTTTCGCAATTTTAAAAAAAAATATAAAAAAGATACATTTCTAAAACATAAAATTTACGTTCATGTTTTGAATTTTCTATGTTGGCCGTGGATTGAGCTCACCGGGAAATGGCTTTTAATTACAGAAAAAGGTATTACACGGTACATAAATTACTTGACCTGTTGGATTTTATCTGGAATCCTACTGTTATGCATGTTAGTTGGAAGCGTAGGAGTTGCGATGAGGTCGCCGGTACAAAAAAAAAATATAAGGAGAAGAAGTCCTTACGGTTTTTTTTTTCTCTCTGCATATTATTGTTGTTGTTTCTCTTCTTCATCTAACGAGTGTGCTTTTGACACATTTACCGCAGTGTTTGTTTTACAATTGTGCCTACACTCGAGTGCCATCGAAATGCTTTATTAGAAAAAAAAATAGTCAATAAGCGGTTTTCTGACTCGAGTTATTATTAATCACAGAATCCGGTTCAGTTTAACAATAGTTTATGTTATTTTTAAGTTCGAATAACGTTTGGTCAATTCGCTTCTTAATAGAGAGCTCAAGTATGAAAGAAATATGTACCATAAAATAATTTTAAATCGCTGATAAAACGAAAAATACGATCGTAAAAGTTAAGAAAGTCATCGTCTCTAACAGATTTTTAATCGGATAAAGTTTATGTATCAATCGAGAGGTTGGGAAACTATAAACTGAAGTATATTCATTAAGTTAAATTAAATTCGAATAATTATGTATATTTATATTTTTTAGCCGAAAACAACCACAAATAATTAGAATCTACGAAATTGTGTTTAAATGCTATAACAAAGTTGAAGGAATTTCTGGTCAATAGTCAGTTAGCAGAAAAACCACTTAATAAATACCCATATTAGTTTTACTTTCCTATTTATACATTTTTAGAAATTAAGGATGTTGAAAATATATTTTTGCGCGAAAAAGGTTTAGAATAATTGTTAGTTAACAGTTGTAAAAGTGACTTTGGGAAATTTATAAGTGGGCGAAACTCGGGTATTAGAAAATTACAAGACCGTGAAAAAATGAAACCTTGGAATAACCCTCCAAACACACTGAATGGTTGAAAAGCGTATTGTGCTGCGTTCTATTATGTGGAATGGGAGAAACCTAATTTTTAAGTGGCCGCAACTTTGGCACTTTATTTGATTTAAGAACCGTAATAACAACTCATAAAACGAATTTATGTAGAATAAATCTTATGTCTGTTGCCTAGAATGGACCACTTTTAAAACGAAGAATGAAACATATAAGTTTATTGTTATGAACATTATAAGAAATTCGACTTACGTTTGAAGTTGCGAATTGAAATACTGTTATATAAAATACATTTACAATAAGGGTTAAGAATTAATGTTAGAAATCGAATGGGATCGTTTATAATTTACGTAATTGGTTGTAATCTTGATTGAATATTGAATTGGTGAGGAGGAGTAAGAATTGAGTGTATTCACATTTAAGATTGAATGATGTAACGTGACAGTATGAAATAATTATTCCTTTGTCTATGGGTGCATAAGTGCAGAGAGGTAAATGAGGAAACAAGAGAACACATTTAATCGTGGATGCGTGCATGTCCTCAGAGGTATATGCACACTTGCGAAATGATATATGAACGATCATTTAAAGATCTGATGGTTATTATAAATGAGTGCAGGGCTTAAAAACCGCTACACGGCTATATCGTACGTACAGTGGAAGAAAACGTATGTATGTGTTTCAATGTATGTGTGTGTGTGTGTGTGTGTACAGGATCAGAAAACAATTTCCAATCAAACCCGTATTAAAACACATGCAGCATGAGTAGAGAAAGAGAGGAGATGAGAGGGATTATATAACGAGTCGTCGGAGCGGCTGAACAGAACAGGTAGAGGAGTGAGATGAGGATAGTTGCGGCGAGTCGCGAGTGGGGGAGGGGACCCACCTTCGTGTGTCCCCCTTCTCGTCTGCCCCCCTTCGTCCCCCCTCGCGATGATGATTGGACAGTAGTGCTCGCGGCCAAACGCGACGTCAGTCGCCCCGAGCCTTCTACCTAGTCAAGTCCTTTGCCATCGAAAGATATGCATGTGTGCCTTACATGATTTCGTCTGCAGTGTTTTTATTTTGTTTCTTCACGTGTGATACATATACGAATTGAGTAATCTTGCGTAATTGATTGGAGACATAGAGAGAGAGATAAGGATGGACGCTAATCCGGATTCGCCGGATTCGATATCCAGCGATCAGTTGACGGTGGATTTGCTGTCGCCGCGCGCGAAACGACGTCGCATCCTTCATAGCGACGCTGCGATCATCAACGAGATGAACGACGTCGAGAGACATCAGAGTAACGCGACGCCCGACGTCAACGGAAAATCGAATAACAACAACGACGTCGGTTTCGTCCTCATGGAAGATGATCAGCAACAGCAGCAGCAGCAGCAGGAAAACGGAGGCGGTGCAGACGACAACGACGACGACGTACGTATTGTTTGAATGCAGCAAACTATTGCGAATCGTTCACATTGCATTGCGGTGGTGGCGGCAGCGACGGCTGCTAATGCTGCCGTTCGTTTGAACGTGTGTGCGGTGCGGAGCGGAGCGAGTGCGACGGTGGGTCACGCGGCGAACCCGAGCCAACAGGTAGAACGCTGCCCCGGGTAAACTAGGAAACCCTCCCGCAGGGTACATTCCTGTCTCTCGCTCGCACATCGCAGCCACGGCTCTCCTCTAGCTGTGCATTCACCTGTGGCATTTGTTGTTGCCTTTTAAACCGCCTTTGCCGACGTGAAAAAAAAACTGCTCCGAATCTGGTCAATAACACTTAAGTCTCCCAAAATATCATGTCATCCTCGCATTCCACTCGATTCAAACAAACTTGTTTCGTCCTGAAACACAGTCAATTCTCAATATTCAACATCATACATTTATAATAATTTTATTCCAATTTATAAATTTAATTGTATCAACATTTTTCAATTTAAAAACTGTCGTCTTTATCAATTATTTATTAAGCAATATTTTTAAAGGTACTACTAATAACATTTACTCTCTGTTTCTTAATGAAAAATCTATTGAAGTAAAAATCTTCTTCCATTAAAAATGTACAATTTAGTATTGAATAGTAGTATTGATAGTATTGAATGGAATCTATAATCTCTTTTGAAGGTTCAAAATTCTTAAATACTGAACTTTTTTTTTTGATTATGGTATTTATTCAGTATGAACAACAATTTAAATTTGATTATAGACAAAAATATGAAAAAAAAATCAAGTTGTTATCTTTTCACATAAACGTGATCTTTCCAGGTAAATCTGATCTGTCAAGAAACCAAAGTATTTAAAGTTAGTTTATCTGCGCAGATCGTGACCATTAAAAATTTACCTTCATTATCATTTTTTAATCTATTCTTGTAGTTTTCTTAATGCAATTTCGGCTTTATTTTATCAATTTGTGTAAAAAACAATCAAGCGAAAAAAGAATCTGCAAATGACATTCAAAAAATAGCAATTCCTTAAAAGCAAGTTTAATTGAAGGTTAATTCTTTACGTATCTAAATAGAAAAATATTAAATTATATTATTTCAATTATACATCTTTATAATTAAAAATACATAGTCATAACGAATTAACGTTCTTGTACAAAAAACAAATGAATTTCATGTAGATGTTCACTTGAGTTATTTCTCTGCAAACAAGTTTTCTTAGTTAATTAGTCGTTCCTCGAAGAGATACAATATTTTTTTAATTATATAGTAAATATCATATTTGTATTTAATGCAAATATACAGGTTACAACGTTAATTATGATTATATTGACAGCATCGTTATGATACGAATTTATTCTATAATATAATTAATTATTACAACAGTATTTTTTATGTTCTAAATTTATTTAGTTTTGACCTACATAATGTATTTGTTTTACTACATCAATTAATTACTTAATAAATTGAATTATAATTTAAAAATTTTTAATTAACGTCTGCTTCGATTAAATAAAAATATTAACATTAAACATGAAATTTTAGGTAGTTGACTTACCTTAATAACTAATTAAGTGAGCAATTTAAATATATTATCGAATTAACTGCTTTATTTGCTTATCTCGCGATTTTTCAACGTTTAATCTCCAAATTTAGAGCTGGAAAAAGTACACAAAACATGAATTGAAATATAAATTAATAGATTAATTAACACCTGCTTCAGAAATTGTAAGTTTTTTTTTTAATAATTACTAATTAAAAGAGGTGAAATATAATACACAAAAGACACATCATGCGATTATTGAATTACTTGTTTGATTTAACTTTATTTGCTTAACAAATACACAGATATAAACTGAGAAGGATTTCGGTGGCAACGGACGATTAAACGGTCCGAATTTAGAGTTAACGAAGCTCGAAAGGAAACGCTAAATGCCGAAAACGTATGGATTTACACAGCTGTTCCGAAGAAATGCGGCGATCCGTGAGGAAGTGTTAATTGGCACCGAATGGACGGTTTGTTTGGTCAGGGAATCACTCCAATAATGCGAGGTAACTGAATGTAAACACGTCTCTCGGCAGCGAAGAAAAGGAAGACGCGAAGCGAAGATGAAACATCGAATAAATAAATATATAAATAAATAGACGATAGATAATTCACGGATCGATGTTAATTCCGTCCGCTAAATGTGTTTGAATCATGACCATATGGTTCATCCGTTTGTTTGCGTTTCGTCTCCACACTAAACTCTTCATCTTTGTTTCACTTCGTAATCGATTTAAGTGTTATTGAAATAAAATTAATGGTTCTGTTCAATCATCTATTTATGGATGTGGATTGTTATTTCATCGACAAATCTTCGAAATAATTCAAGGTAATCAAGAGAATTGCGTTGTTGTAGGTTTAAAACCAATTAGTTTTTGTTATGCATTTATAAATAGTAATTTAAAAACAAATACATATTTATTTTCTTTTAAACTGTTGCAAAACGGATACGATTCATGGTGAAGTATTTTACCCTCAATTTTTGCTAGAAAAGCAAATTTTTAAATTCCAAGAATCTGCAGGTATAGAAAATAGTTACCTTTTCTATAGGTATTGTTTAAAATTAGATAATTTGATGCAACCATGAAAACTGAAGGATTTTTGATGAACAATTAAAATCTGAACCTCCATCTATTAAACATTTAAAATCAAATCAAATTGGTTTACGATTTTCTCAATGATTCTACAAATTAAACCTCCTAACTTTTCAACTATTTGAATAAAACTGCAATTCCTTCAATAATCCAATAAATTAAGCACAAGAAACTGCATGATTTCGATGGAAAATTAAAACTTAAACCTAACTATTCAATCAAACTCATCCATTCACAAATAACTTTATATAACTACAATTATTTCTAAGAACCTTACAAATTCTACGATTTTAGATAACAAGCACATGAAACTGAATGATTTCGATAGACAATTAAAACGTAAACTTCCTAACTTTTCATCTATTGAATCAAACTCATTGATTAACAAATAACGTTGTATAACTACGATTCTCTCAATTATCCTAGAAAATATACATAAGAAACTGAAAAGAATCAACAGAAAATTAAAACGTAAACTTCCCAACTTTTTATCTCTTGAACCAAACTAATTGATTCACAAATAACGTTGTGTAACTACGATTTTTTCAATGATCTTAGAATTTGGACAATATTAGAAAAGAAAAACCAGAAACCGAAAAATTTTGATAGACGATTAAAACGTGAACCTCCTAACTTTTCATGTATTAAATCAATAAATAACTTTGTGTAACAACGATTTTCTCAATGATAACACAAATTAGATAATATTAGAAAATAAACAGAAGAAACGGGAGGATTTCAATAGAAAACTAAAACCTTTTCATCAATTTGATCAAACTTATTGATTGAGAAATAATTTTGTTAAACTACAACAGAAAATATTATAATATAAACACATGGAAACATGCATATTAGAAAATAAACATGAAACTAAAAGATTTCGATAGATAATTAAAACGTAAATTTTTCATGCGTTTATTAATCGAATTCATTGATTCGCAAATTGTGTAACCACGATTCTCTCTGTTCTACACAAAGCAGACACAAAAAAGAAATTGTTTCTTCATCTTCGCGCTTATCTGTCTGGCATTTCCATAAAATATTCACGAAATGGAAACCAGGAAAGAAGAAAAAAATATATATAAAATATATGCAATAATACCGATATTGAGGAACGGGACACTCCCTGAATAATTTACAATTAGAATTAGATACAGAGAGAGGAAGCAGAAAAATAAATAAATAACTATAATATAATGGTGTGCATGAGCGTAGTCAGGCGTAATTAATAGCTAACAAATTTGAATATTGCTTATTTAAATTAATTCGAGATTTTGAAGTTAAAAAAAATAAATTTTCGCACGGATGCTTAAAATAAACTTAATTATTCTTGTTGGAATGATGAAAATGTTTTAGGTCTTAATCTAATTCTCGGAAACTATCAAATGCGCTCAAGCTGATTAATACTAAATAATTAAACTGTTGCAATTTAAAGCGATTTAGATGATGAGAGCGCATTTAACATTCCCGTTTAATCGCTCCGGTCATATATATTTTATACTGTTTCCATAGTTATTCTGAGAATATAAACAATGCTTCCTGTTTTCGATCGTAACTAAGCTAAGTTGATGCGATTATTTGGACAGTTTAGGTAATCCAATTACGTTCGTTGTTGAATGTTAAGTTTCGCCTTCGTTATCCAACGCTACTTTTTTTCCTTTCTTCATTTAGGTGCCTCCCTTGAAGTGTCCGAGAGCGCAGTAAAACTTGCATTTTAAATTACGAACGCGGCAATAAAAAGAGATCGTAAAAACAAAAACAAAAATTATACGCGTAAATATATATAAATAAATGTAAATATAAATAAATACATTACGATGATTTCTAAGTTGATACCGTTAAGGCATTAAGAGAGATACGCAAGCAGGTAAAGGATGTTGGTTGGACTCCTCTCGATGCTCGGTAATATCCAATAACAACGCTGCTGCGGCGCTGTATTATTAATAATGTTGTTTATGAAAATGCTGCAGAAACGAGCAAGAATTTATTGTACGGCTTTCGCGCAAAACTTTACGATCCAACTGTTTATATTAAGACGTTCAACGCTGTGTCATACATACGGATGCAACACGTCCATTTGCAAAAATAATTTATATATATATAATGGTGGCCGCAACTGTAAGCGCAATTAGGACTTTGCTTATAATAATCGAATGCATTTTTTTTACTTTTCTTTATTTCTTTCATCTTACTGACGTAAATACGATAGTTTTGCACAATATGTGATGCAATACGATTATAATCGAATGTACTTAAGAGTAATCTAGTTATCTGGTTGTGAAGTCATCATTATTATACGCGCTAAACCAAATCCAATTACAGATTATACATTCGATTTAGTAACATATTCGCTTG